ATCAAAAGGCTGGTGGAGTGGCTCAAGGTGAAGGCCCTGAGTTCAAGCCCCAGTACCACAAAAACAAACCAACAAACATACATGCCTCCTAATTCTAAAAACCACATACATGTTAGCAAAAACTATATAGAAAAATACATTAAAATTCTGGGGAGAAGAGACCATAATGTATGAGCTTTTAAATGACCTTTAAAAACTGTGACCAGACATGGGTCTGACTAACTCCCATATGCCCCTTAACTAATACTACATTTCTAGTCACTGCACATCACTTGGCATTCACATTCAGCACTTCCTTGGTAGATGAACTACTCAATCACTACAAACTTAAAAACTTTAAAATTAGCAAGTTTCTTTATCTATTGTCACATTAGTAAAGAACAGAGCTTCAAAATGAACATTATAATAAACTTACTATTAAGTGGTTTTCGAGATTCTTCATTCTCTGTCCTCTCTATTCCTGAACTTTCTTCTATCTTCACGGTTGCCTTTTTCATCCTTCTCTTATCTTCTTCATTTTCACTATCTGCTGTATAAAGACTCTGATCTGAGAAGTGCTGTCTCTCATCTCTGTGCCATGAGGAAAAATAATGTGTCAGTAACAGTATAAAGCTCTATATTCCCCCTTCCTTCATTTGCAGAGAGAAGAAAGAATTGAGACTCTTTCCCCATATTGCAGTTGGCTATACAACAGTACAGACTAGGAATTAAATGAACAAAGGGAACCCAGTGAAAATGTATCTGACACTTTTATCTGGCTCACATACTTAATTATTCTCCCATTTGTCAGCAGCAATCGTAGATCATTATCTTTTGCTCTCCATTCAGGTACCGTGGAAGATGGCTGGAGATGTTTGTTGAATTTTCCATTCAGTTTGGAACTCAAGATGTCCTTAAAGTATAAAAACAACTGACTTAATCTCCACTTTCACACACAGCTGCTCATCTGAAAATGACTATATGCCACTCTCCCCGCCCATGGTCCTGCCTTGCAGAGTGGCAGGCAGCCACTTAGGATTAGGGACACTCAGCAGTCCCACACTTCAGAGTTCCCAAAAGGACAGCTCATCTTTTGGGATGGCCATTAACTGTAAAACACGTTCCGTAATGCAGAATGTGAAATGTTCATAAAGCAAATTCAAAGAAAGTCCATCACTGGAAAGCTGACAAGCCAGGGTAGTACAGCCTCAGGTGTCTTCATCTTCTTCCTGCATGAAGTGAAGCTGCAGGGTCTTTCCACTCACCTAGCCTCATACTTCGTCTTCCCACTGTGCACTGTCAGCAGTCATACTACCACTAGGTGTAAAGGCCACCACATGACAGAAAGAGACAATAATATGTATAAAAATATTTCCTTTTTGAGATAAATTTTCCTTTAATAATAAATAACCATTCCCAGATGGTTGTGGGTTAAGCAGGTTTAGAGTATCATAACTGTAAAACCATATAGTTGTATGTAAGTTCTTGTGGTATTTTATTCCAGAGATACCTCAGTTTTATTCATTTTAGATTACTGCTTATCCTCCACTTTTCAAAGGCACTACACTAACCTCATAACTGCCTTCCATTCTCCCTTCTGTCCAATACACCAGCACTTCAACTTACATGAGCCGTTCTAACAGCCTTGTACACTAACAGTCAACCAGGCTGGTGCTGTTGGCTCAAGGATAAGCTTTGTGCATTTGCCCCTTCTCTGACTGCAATGTTACCCCTGGAATCTGTGCATCCACCTAACTTCTTCCTGTTATCTGTCAGCTCAAACATCATCACCTGAGAGGTTCTCTGATTGTCCTGGCCACCCCAGCCACCCATCTCCCTTTATTCTACTGCTTTATTGCTCTGGACTCCTTCAAAACCCTTAGCATCTGAAATTATATTGTTTTAGTATATGTCTCTGTCTCCCCAAATTCCAACTTGAGTTCTGGTGAAAATATCAGAGAAATGTCTTAAGTTTGCACACTCTGGTAACTTCTACAGAGACTAGAAGAGCATATGGTACTTCCTAAACACTCAATAAACGTGCCAGCAAATGAATGGGGTCTAGTCATCCTAACCCTATACTGAAGCCTACAAAGATTAGGCATCATGTCTGTCAGAGGCATAAGTATTGGTTGACCCCCTACGAATCTACAGGAAAGATCAGATAAAAAGAACAGGAAGACTGGTATTTTCAAAGATCATAAAGGAACAAGTTTCTTCATATAATACTTGCCTCTTCCCATGGACACATCTCTAGTCTTTTTAGGACCTCCCTTGTGTGCAGCTCTAGGATGTCTAGATTAGAAGGAGTTCGAACATTATGATCCCGAAGTTTCCTCATCTTTCTTCGGGAGTGATATGGGGAAGTTGCTTCATTTGAGGATCGTGAAACTGGACACACAGTAGGAATTCCCTGAGATTTGACTGGTTTGCCATTTTCTTCCTTTAAGAATTAAATTCAGAGTATGTTTTATGACACAGCTATTATGTACATAGTAACTATATAATCAACCATACAAATATTTTAGAAGCAAAACACATTCTATTTAATCATTTAAAAGAAAAAGACCAAATCAAAACATCATCTCAAGACCTTTATTCCCTTTCTTCTTCATATAATATACTCTGTACACATTTACTTGATTTGGTTTTTTGCTATTGTTGTTATTGAGAAAGGGTCTTGCTATGCAGCCCTGGCTGGCCTCTAACTCTTGATCTTCCTGCCTCTGCCTTCTGAGTGCTGGGATTACAGGCATGCACCACCACACTGGGCTCCTTGATTTTCAATAGTATAGTATTCTGCTTTATGAATACAGCATAATTTGCTGACTTATACTTCCTGGAAACTTTTGAGGTTACTTCTACTTCTTTTCACATGCACATTTGTAATACTTACTACCCCACCCCATCCCCTCTGGCCTTTGGGGTTTGAACGCAGAGCCTTGGTCTTGATAGGCAGGTGCTCTACCACTTGAGCCATACCTCCAGCCCCTAATACTTACTTTTTGTATCAAAGTCACACATTATGTAGCTTTTTCCTTACATTTTTTCATGTAAAATATATTAAGTATATTATAACAAAGGGACAGCATGTCCAGATGCAGTAATGAAGAGTTATAGCCTTCTAGAAATAATGAGGTTTACAGAATTTAGTTAAGACTTTAAACATTTTATTAAAGTATATGATTCAAAACCATCTAATAATGTAAAAACAATGAAGAATTTTTCCTTATATTGGCCTAAATCAACTCTTCTGCCATTTTTTTTTCTTTGACCTTAAATGTCTGTGGGAACCTCAAGCTGAGGCTGTCTTCTCTAAGGGCCATCAATGCAGTGAGTCTTGAGTAGGGCATGTTTTCTTCCTGGTGATATCTTATGAACCATATATCTACAGAGTCTTAAAAACTAAATACTCTGGGGCTAGCAGAGTGGCTCAAGTGGTAGAGTGCCTACCTAGCAAGCGTGAGGCCCTGCATTCAAGCCCCAATACTGCAAAAAATAAATAAATACTCCATAGACAAAATATGAAAGTAGCAGTCTACTCTTCTTTCCACCCAATTTCCAAAGGCAACTCCCCATCCTTCATGGTAACATATGCATAATGTAAGGCTTGCTATCTTAATCTTTTTTTTTTTTTCAGAAACAGGGTCTCACTATGTAGCCCAGGCTAGTCTTCACCACTCAATCCTCCTGCCTCAGCCTCCTGAGTGCCAGGATTACAAGCACATGCACTATGCATATTCAGTACATTCACACTGTTGGTGATATCTTATGAACCATATATCTACAGAGTCTTAAAAACTAAATACTCTGGGGCTAGCAGAGTGGCTCAAGTGGTAGAGTGCCTACCTAGCAAGCGTGAGGCCCTGCATTCAAGCCCCAATACTGCAAAAAATAAATAAATACTCCATAGACAAAATATGAAAGTAGCAGTCTACTCTTCTTTCCACCCAATTTCCAAAGGCAACTCCCCATCCTTCATGGTAACATATGCATAATGTAAGGCTTGCTATCTTAATCTTTTTTTTTTTTCAGAAACAGGGTCTCACTATGTAGCCCAGGCTAGTCTTCACCACTCAATCCTCCTGCCTCAGCCTCCTGAGTGCCAGGATTACAAGCACATGCACTATGCATATTCAGTACATTCACACTGTTGGGCAACCATCACACCATCCATCTCCAGAACTTTTTTATCTGCCCAAACTGATGGTCTTCACCCATTAAACACTACAACTTCCCATTCTTCCCTATTCCTAGCTCCCAACAACCACTATTGTGCCTTCTGACTCTGAATTTGGCAATTCTAGGAACTTCATATTAAGTGGAATCATAGAATATTTGCCCTTTTGAGACTGGTTTATTTCACTTCGCAAAACATCTTCAAAGTTCATCCATATTGTAGCTTGAGCCAGAATCTCCTTTTTTAAAGCTGAATAATGCTCCATTTTGTGTACTGTATGTGTTACATTTTGTTTATCTATTCACCCACTGAAGGACACTTGGATTGCTCCCACCTCTGGCTACTGTGAATCATGCTGCTACAAACATAATGCATACTCATCTGTTCACAGCCCTGCTCTCAATTCTTCTTGGTATGTAGCCAGCACTTACAATTCTTACAACTGTGTTTTCCCCTGCTCACTTATTTACCTCCAAATTTCTAAATAACACATTATCCTGTTTTTAGCTTTAGCTATTACTGAATTCCTACTACATAAGATAAAGTTTTAGTGCTTACATACTAGTCCTAAACCTATCACACTTTCCTTGCCTTCATCATTCTGTCTTTAAACTGGACTCAGTAAAAATTACTGATAACTTAGGGCCACATCATATACTACCACTGCATTCTTTTCTTTTACATCCTTTGATTTTCTCTTGAGCTATATTTGCCTCACTTTCCATCTGCTTTGTTTTTTATGTATCATTAAATGACCACCAAGTTCAAACAAATTAATCTTTGAATACATCCCTCCTGGATAAAGTTGTCAGATAAAGTACAAGAAACTTAATTAAAACTGAATTTCAGATAAACAACAAATATGGAGCCTTTCATTCTCCTGGTCCATCCTAAACTGGCTGCTCTCTGGGCCAGTTTGAGTATTCTTCCAGGTATAGCCTACCACTTTAAATCTGTAATATCAATTTGAAGTTGCCATATTTTTAGAAATAATATTTCCATTTATTCAACTATTATTTCCCTTAGTAAAGATTTGTAGGTTTTTTTTTTTTTAATGTAGACTTACATCTTTCTTCTTGAGTTTATTCTCAATTTTGGTTGTTACTGTGCATAAAGACTTTTATGTGTGTGTGTGTGTATATATACATTTAAGATTAGATATGACTTCTGATATTAGACCCAATTATATGGGTAATTTATATGTAATTACTCTTAAAATACTTTTCTACAACAGTTGAACACACTAAAAATATATGAGAACTATTCTATCCATTGTGACTAAATCTAGCATCTTAATATTCCTTAGGTGACAGCCCTAACACAAGATGTAAAATGACTGATTGGTCTCCATTCCTCCATTGAATTCCCTCTTAATCCAAGCTACACACTAACTGCATCACTTTCCTGACTACTTTAATTAAAACCCCCTTTCTTAAACACCTACAATAGCTTTTTTTTTTTTTTTTTTTGCTTCCTAAAGTAGCTCTTAATTAGTAAGTTAAATACTCTGATCACAGATTTTATGGGCTTTTATCAAATGCATTTACTCCACCAACTGCTCTAACATTTTCGGTCAAGGGGATCTTCTACCCCAACCCACTAATTCACTTAGTTTTACTCACTTTACAGTTCTTTTCTTCTAATTACTTATCATGTATTAATCTCTGGGTAGCTGAAATTAATTGGATCTGACCACTGTACAATGACGACCCTGAAGTAACTTGGTATCTGCTTCTTTACTATTTCATTACTCCATTACAACACAATACTCTAAATTTCTCTGTAGGACTTTTAAAAGTCTGAAGCTCTGAAACCTGTCCAAGACTCAGCTCATTCTATTCCTTCTTCGTGTGTACATGTTTTCAGATGTTTGTAGTGTCACTGTAGATCCACTTGCTTCTTAAGATAGATAGCAACCAAGCACTTAGATGATGGTTTTCACTCTTACCTCTATTGCTCGAATTACTTTAGAAAGTTCTTTAATAAGATGTCCAGGTCTGACATTGTCTGGAATTTCAAAGGCATGTTCAGATACAAGCTGTATTTGGATTAACAAAGAACACCAAAGTTACTTATACTATAATATGTAAAAACTAATTTACTAAACAAACAGTTGGGTTCTTTATATTATAGACATAGCCAGATAGTAGGAAGCCCATTCACAAGAGTTCATGGAATTGTTATTGTGCCTTGTAGGGAGATTCTCATTACCATATAAAATCCTCTTACAATGAGTTAAAAATGGATTTGTCTCACAGTGAATCTTGTTTTGTATTAAACATACCCTTGCACTTTACACTTCAAATCCCACTATAATTCTAATTACAACTACCAACTAATAAAGAAATTAATTAAGCTTAAGATTTAATTCACAATTGGTGAGTTACCATATCTATTGAACCGCTAACTAATGTCATTATCTTTAGGTCTATTTCCAAATATTTATCTTTAGAACTAAGAACATTTTTGGTTTTAGACACAGTCAGCATAGTAGAGTTTCTACTTTTGCTTCACACCCTCTACTTGGCTTTAGTATAACTTTTAAACAAATGAGTATGAAACAGAACTAAGAAACCTCTTGCAATTACTTTTAAGTGGGCTGGGAAGGGGGCGAAGGGGGAGAGACAATGGGGGCAATGTAAATAATGTACAATATAAGTCTAATCAGAACTGTCACTACGAATTCCCTGTTTAATGAATATATCCTAATAAAAAATTTATAATAAAAACCAAATTAGTAACAACAGTAATATTAATAGTGCTAACTCTGCCCTAATACTGCTAAGTACTTTTAAAGCAATAACTCATTTAATCCCTTAGTAACAGTATGATATAGATACTACAGGTTGACTATTCTTTTATCTAAAATGCTCAGAAGTGCATGGGAGCAGAAGTGTTTTACATTTCAGAGCACCTCAGATTTCTGATTTTCAGATTAGGAATGCTTAGCATATAAACTGTCCCCATTTTACAAGTGAGAGAACTGAAGCAGAGGTTAGCAAAGATAAGATTTGATCCCAAACATCTGAGTCCATAATCTAAGCTCTTAACCATTATGCTCAACTGCTCTCATCTTTAAGCAAATTTAACATAAATGTAAACATGTCTTTCAAAATGCACTTCAAATGCAACATATGAATAGTACTTATTCATGATAACAAATTTTACTACACATAGAAACCGGCCAGGATGACTTTTTAAGGTTCAGATCTACCCCAGATCTATTAAACCAGAATCTCTTGAGGAGGATCCAGGGATTTTATTTTATAACACTCTAACTTATAAAAGTTAGCAATGCTAACTTTTGAGAACCATTCATGTAAAGTCTCCATCAGGAAACAAACCATACAGTTTTTGCAACATGTGCTTTATTTTATTTTTTTAAACAGCTGTTAATTTGTTTATGCTTCTCTCTTCATCTAGATGAAGTCTCTGACAGTGGAAGACATGTGTTTTATTTTCCTGAATCTTTCCACAGTGCCTTGGCTCTAGTGGATATGTAGCAATGACAAAATGAAAGGGGGTATAAAATTACTAAATAGTCTATTATTATCTCCCAATATCTCCTAAGAGCAGGATTTTTATTTCCAGTGGACAGCCAAGAAATTACTATGGAAATCATCAGGTTACATGTTGATCTTTGTTCTTTTGGAGTTCATAAATATAGTGAAGGAGAGATGAATATACTCTACACATAGTTTTAAGTTCACTGCAGGAAATATGTATGGAAGCATAAGGGAAGGAAACATTAATTCCAAATGACCTCTTGGAGGTGGAAGAGTTCAAATGCAAACAGGTTAGTAACCACAATCTAAAAAATGGAAAGCTCATGTTTAAGCTATGTCTGCGCCTCTCCTTCAGTCTTACATAAGCCCAGCAGAGTGGGAAAGAGTGAGGCTTGCAGTCCCAGAGACCAGCTTTATGTCCTAGCTCCATCAGTTCTCTTGGATAAGTTTTTTAACTGGGGTACCCACAGCATCCAGACCTCTTTACATGCTTTGGAGATTGAATGAAGTCATGCACATAAAGAATAAGCACAGTACTTAGTACACTGAGCTCAATGTTGTTTATTATTATTCTATATCTACATGTTCTTTTCTTAGTCAATATTGTAAATATACCTGAATTACTTTTTCCAGATTAAAGATTTTTTTAATCTAAGTGCTTTATTTTCATAACTAAAACCAGAAACAAGTATGTCTGTAAAATACTGAATAATAAAATACAGGCTATACTTAAGTATGATTTCCATTTGCTTTACAATTGGCACACAAGTGTTGCCAAGTCAGCAAAAGAACTGTTTCCTTAATCTTGCCACATGAAAAAACAATAATGATGACTTACTTCTTTTTTCATCCATAATTTTAAAGCAGTATGCAGTGCTTTCACTCCCTGTACTAGGTAAGTTTGAGGATGGAAACCATCTTCTCTCAGTTCTGTGGGAATGAAGTGGGGCAGGGAAAGGAGGTGAAATGTTTTGAGAATAAAGGGATTCATTTTGGCAAACTGTACATCTAAATTAATAAAAAAGAAAAAAGTAGAATATGAAATAATCAATTCAAAAGGCAAGAAAGAAAAAGAAACAGAACTACATTAAATGTAATTGTACTAAACACTTCAGTTAAGCATGACCAAAAGGATTTAAACTAAAAAGATGGAAAAAGGATATCAAACTTTCTAAAGAGAGCCAGTATGGCTATATTAATATATTGTCATTAATAAAGGGTCATTTCATAATGACCAAAAATTCAACTCACTAGAAAGACAATTATTTAAGATTTGCTTAGCAACAGTCTAAAGACATAGGAAGTAACAACTAGACAGAACTAGAAAAATAAGCAACTTCACAGTCACAGTGGGAGATTTTAATACATACAGTAAGCAACAGAGTAGACAAAACACATTGCTAGGCATATATATTCAACTTGAACAATGTAAAACTTAATTCAATGGCCATCAATAGACTAGTGCACCTGAAAATTGTAGAATACACATTCTTTTCAAACATGCACAGACATTTACAAAAATCCTTATCTCAGGACCATAAACAAGTCTCAACAAATGTCCAAAGTTCAAAATCACCTATATGTTCACAATATAATTAAGCTAGAAAATAACAGACATCAGTAACTAAAAGACAACTAGAAAAAAGCCCAAACATTTAGAAACTCAGAAACAGAGATATTAATAGACTGCCAAGCAGATTTTTAAAAAAATACTGGAAATCAGAATGCATGCTGGTTAAATAACAAAAACAGTATAGCAAAACATGGTACACTACAGAGGGGAAGATAGAACCTTAAGTACTAGTGTTACAAAAAAAAAATGCTGAAAATTAATGAGTTGAGAATCTATTACTAAAATTTTTACAACAACAAAAAAAAGAAGGGAAAAAAAACCCAGATAACAGGATTATTAGGCCTCAAAACTGGTGATCTAAAAAGATAATAAATTGATAAAAACAGAAAACAGGTACAAATACCCAGTATCAAACATCATGGGCTGACGGCATGGTTCAAGTGGTAGAGTCCCAGCCTGGCATGTCCTAGGCCCTGAGTTCAAACCCCAGTACTAGACACACACAAAAAGATACATCATTACAATGCTACAGTTATTAAATAGTTAAGAGAGTGAACAGTTTTATGTAACTGTAAAAACTCAGAAGTGGACACATTTCTAGAAATAAAGTTATCAAAAGGGACTCAAGAACTCAGCAGAGAGAAATCTTTCTGCAAAGAAAACCATAAATCCAGATGTCTTGATCAGTGTTTCCACTAATCATTCAAGAAAGAATCATTCCAATCACAACACAGTGATTTCTGATCCAGAGATCAGAAAAAGAATAATCCCAATGTTTTCCTGAAGCTGACATAGCATAACTTTCATACCAAAATCTAACAAGGACAGCATAAGAAAACAAATGAGCCCAATTTTATTCATGGGCCAAAAGAAAAAATACATACACATTCATATGTAATATGTCAATTTTTTTAATATATATTTATATAAAGTATAGCCTACATATTCTAGATATGTTGAATATATAGAATGTGTAAACTAATATGGACTATAGTAGAAACAATACTCTAACCTACTAGTTTACAAAATTTATATCAAGACTGACATTGGGCTAATATTAGAACACTACGTCAGCACTAAATTAAAAGATTAAAGGAGAAAAATCACAGGACTCTCCTTAATAATACAGAAGAAGGTTTTGACAAAATTCTAGTACCAATGATTATTTTTTAAAAGAAAGAAAAAAATCTTAATCTTTTAGTTGGCTTCGAGTAAGTAAGAGCTTCTTAAGCCTAATAAAGGTTATAACAGAAAGTCTAGGGCAAGCAGAGCACTTTAACAGTGTAAGGCTGTTTTGAGACTGGGAACATGATAAAGGTACCCCTTCTTTGCTCCTAGTTGCCATTGCCTGAGGTCCTTCTAACACAGTAAAAGCAATGAAAATAAACAAAAGACATACACATTAGTAAGGAAGGACCAAAACTGTCATTATTCACAAGGATGTGTGACTGTACTTTAGAGAATTCAGAAAAAAAAAAAAATCCTCAGATGAATTATTAGCAGGTCTTTTTTTTTTTTTTTTTGCTGGTTTTTTGTTCTGTTTTGTCTTGTGCCATTACTGGGGATTGAACTTAGGGCCTTACACTTGGTGGCAAGGACTTTACCACTACTAATAGCTGCTGTATACAAAGTCTGTATAAAATTGACTACTTCTTTATTCTAGCATTGCATGGTTATGAGGCTGAACCATATGAAATTGCCAGCATTTAACCATTTTTTAAATAAAAAAACAGAATTTCATATGGTTTGCCATACATATACTAACATATAACAATGATAGGTTATAATAGCACTAAAAGTATAAAGTACTTGGAATAACTATTAAGAGATACACATGCAAAAGTCCCCCTCAAAAAAAAAATCACAAAACTCCAAATGACATCAAAGATATAAAAAGATGTTTCATGATCACTTTTAGAAAACTCAATATTGAATGGCATAAAATTTTACCAAAATTGATCTCAAAATGTAATATGCTCAAATGAAAATTGTCATATTTTTATTTCCTTGCTTGCTTTTTGTGGGAAGAGAGAACAGTGTCAGTTTGTAGTAATACAATTCAAAAGTGTAACATGGAGCCAGGAGCCAGAGACTTACGCCTAAATCCTAGTTACCTGGGAGACTGAGACTGGGAAGACTGCAGTTTGAGGCTAGCCCAGGCAAAAAATTAGAAGCACACCATCTTCATCAATGGCTGGGCATGGTAGCCTGTGCCTGTCATCACAAGCTGCAGGGGAGGCTGAGATCAGGAGGATCAAGGTCCAAGGCCAGCCTGGGCAAAAAAGTTTGTAAGACACCATCTCAATGGTGGGGGGTAGGGAGGAAGCTGGGCATGGCAGTCCAGGCCAGCCTAAGCAAAAAGCAAAACCTTATCTCTAAAATAACCAGAGCAAAAAGGGCTGGAGACATGGCTCAAGTAATAAAGTGCCTGCCTTGCAAGCGTTAAACCCTGAGTACCAATAAATGAATGAATGAATAAATAAGATGCAACATGGAAAAGAAAGGGTTGTGAAAATCAAGGCACACCTGCAAAGTAGAGCAGAAGGACCGACTGGATAGCGAGGTTAATACAGCACTGAAGCAATAGTGTGGAGAGACAGTGCAACAGGAGGGTAAGCGAGACAGGGAGTAGGTACCACAGGACCTACATGTATTCAACACGTGGTATAAGACTGAGTGTCATCTACCAAGAACAGAAAAAGAATGAACAATCCAGAATGTGAGGCTGGAACAAATGGGTATTTGTAAGAAACAAATGAGAATGTATCGCCTTCCTGCCATCATCCACAAGAAAATCAATCACAAATACGTTAAAGGCCGAAAGGCAAAAGATGAAACTATAAAAGCTTTTAGAAGACAAAGAGTATCTGCAAGATCTTGGGATAAGAATTTCTTAAACAAGACACAAAAAGCATTAACCATGTAAGTTGAAAAAAATACTGTTTTGAAATTTTTAAAAATTTGTCCTTAAGAGACACCATAAAAAATAAAAAGAAAGTCAGAATTGAAGGTATCTATAACATATATTATTAGAAGGACTAGAAGCCAGAATAAAGAACTCCTATAAATTATTAAAAGAAAAAATAAAATATTGTCTAACAACCTGGATGGACTCTTTGTTATTAAAGAGGAAATCCAAAAGACCAATACACACACAGGAAAAAAATGCTCAATTACATTAATAATCAGAACAAAATCACTAAAAACACAAGAAATACTACTTTACACTCATTAGTTTGGGAAAAATTAAAACCTAACAATACCAATTGTCGATCAGTGTAAAGCACTGAGGACTTTCATATCCTGCCACAGAACTGGGAATTAAAAACAATTCCACAGGAACTATTAAATTTTATCTATGACTTAGCAATTAGGTCTATTCTCTGGAGTAACTCTTATACTAGGTCACACTAGCAAGACCTTCTTAAAAACATTTTCCATAATTGCCAAAAACTAAAAATAACACCAAATATCCAATAATTGACAAACAGATATAGAAGGTATATTCATATAACAGAATACTATAGCAATAAAAAATAAAGAACTACAGCTACACACACACATACAAAAATGGATGATGCCAGGTATGGCGGTGTATGCCTATAATCCCAGCCCTCAGGAGGCTGAGGGAAGAGGATAGGAGGTTCGAGGCCAGCCTGGGCTATATGCCAAGACCCTGTTTAGAAAAACCATAAAAAGGGGGTAAAAGGATGACCCTCACAAACAATGCTGAGTAAAAGAAAGACAGGCCACAAGAAAATATTAGCTTGAATCTATCCATAAGAAGCTAATAAAGGGAGGAAATGAAACTATTTTAATTTACAACGCAGGTGCTAAAACTAAAGACAAGGATTACCATGACAGTTGAGACTGGTTATTTGCAGAAGAGAAGGAAGAGAACATAATGGGGAAAGTCACAGGCATTTGTAAGGTGCCAGCAAGGCTGTTTTTGCTGACTTTGGGTAGAAGCTGCCTGAGTAATAGTCTTTACTTTAAACTGGACAAAAGCATGCATGTGTGCAGTGCGTGTGTCTAGAAAGCCAACTGTGTATGGCATTGTTCACTACCGTAGAAGGACACACACACTCACACAAATGTCTTTTCTGGGTTTTTTAACCAGAGTAATTATCTAAAACCCAAGAAAATATTTCAGATGTGGTCAAAATTCAGGTAAGTTGAAGCAAAAAATTTCATTCCTGTCCAGTGGCTAATTTACTTACACAAATCCAAACTGGTTCATTGTTTTATTATCACTGATATGAAATATAGTTAAAAGGTCCACACAATCATCCTCATTTAACCCATCACATCACAGAAGCTTTGTAACACTCTGAGAGTTGACAAATAGAAAGCCACAAAAGTGAAAAGGTAGTGATTAAGAACACAGTCTAGGAAAATAAGACGACTACCCCTGTTTCCAAGATGACTGCCTAGGACAATGGCAGTTGCTATAATGGTCATGTGGTTTTAGCCTTGGCAGACTGAATTGAATCACTAGTACTTGCCAAGTGTCCTATATTGACTTAGCTTTTAAACATTTCAAAGTAATCTACAAATACCCTTTTATGAAAATACTTTTTTATTTTAAATTCATTAATGTATACAGCCATGCTTACAATCAGATCTCAATATGTCAATATTTCTGAACTTTTGATGACCTAAGACGTATACTAAATATTTATTGCTAAGATTAAAAGCAAGTTGATGCTGTGGTTTAGAGCACAGCAAAATTTTATTTTTCAGATAAACTCTTTATTCTAAAAAGTTCACTGATGAGCACACTAGGAAAAAAGAAGACTCCCATGTGGTGGTGGTGGTGGTGATGGTGGTAGTGGTGGGGGTGGTGGTAGGGGTGGGTGTGTGTGTGTGTGTGTGTGTGTGTAGAGAAAAAGAAGACCCCCACGTGGTGGTGGTGGTGGTGATGGTGTGTGTGTGTGTGTGTGTGTGTGTGTAGAAAAAGAAGACCCCCGGCGTGTGTGTGTGTGTGTGTGTGTGTGTGTGTGTGTGTGTGGAGAAAAAGAAGACCCCCGGCGTGTGTGTGTGTGTGTGTGTGTGTGTGTGTGTGTGGAGAAAAAGAAGACCCCCGGCGGGTGGTGCGGGTGGTTTCATAGTTTCTCCTAGCTAACCAGAAGACAGGAATTAGGAGTCTTAGGGAAGAAAAAGAAGACAGGGGAGAAGGTGCTCTGAACCAAGTATAGAAATGTGAGTCTCTTAACTGAGGGTTTAGTAGTTGATGTTTATTTCCAGAAAACAAGGGTATTTATAAAATATGTGTAATATGAGCTCTTGCATTTCTAGGTTTGTATTTGGAGATTATGAACTTCACTACTGGAGGGAGCAACTCTACAGTCTTCTGTGACACTGCTGTAGCCAAGAACAATACCTGATTGAATTAGGGGTTCAAGTTAAAGATTTATTTCTGGAGCAAAGGTTTGTCTTCTGAAAAAGGAACTGGTCTTATCCAGGGAACTCCACCTCTATTATATAGATCTGCAGCACTGTCACCACTCTCCTCTGACACTGTAACGCAAGAAGCAATTTTTTCTCTCTTCCCATTCAAAGCAAGGAGGTGTTTAGTTTATTCTTTTGAAGGAAAACAAACCACATACAGAGTTTCATCATTTACCTCTGTACATGGTAGCCTGAGAGGTAAATTTTTGGTTGTTTCTTTTCACTTTACCTTTTCTTCTTGTATACCTTCTAAATGGAAAAAGAAAGAAACATCCAGATACACTTTAATCTGTCTACATCTACTCTCCTGAGAATTAACAGAATCATTTGCACACTAACTAGAAAAGTCAGACAACTCGAAACCAGACAAATTCTCACTGGCAAAAGGGCATAAAAAGCAGAAAATAGGTAGAAGTAGAGATAACTTTTAATCTCCAACTTGACTGCTCAAAGAGTATTAAGTCAAAATACAAAAACTTCAAAATACGAAATTCCATCTTTTAAAACACAGCTTCAAGTGTTCCACAAAGGGATTTAAAAAAAATTTTCCCTTCAATTCCAGTTAGTTGGCTTGTGTGCTAAGAGTGAACAGAACTAGCCAGCACAATGGTCATAATGGTGACAGTACAGGAATTCCCTGATTCTCTCAGGACATGAAAATTATTCCTTGATTTTCAAAAGCAAATGTTAGGGAACATATGTGAGGTGGTAGTCTTGTGACACAAACTACATTTTTGAGAAGGAAGGACTGATAAATGCTTGAGAATGTGTGTAAGCCACTAGACTACTAAAAGAAATGAACATCTTCCAGTATGACCTATGCTGTTCTGATGCAGGCTTCATATATCTGATTTCTAAGAATGGGTTAGGGGACTGTGACCTAGAGACTGTAACTGCTAAAAAGGTTCCTGGCAATGGGAGAGGGGATGTACTAATTAATTAATTAATTAACAAATAAATAAATAAATGGGCAACATCCACACCCTACTAAAAGAGAGTCTGTCACATAGCTTTGAAGAAATTTACAAACATTATGCATTGCATTATACAACAAAATGTGCAAATTATTAATTACCTTTCAGGGTTTCCAGTAAATTTTTGGCTACAAACCAACATATGGCTTCAAAGAAAGGGAATTTGAAAAGATCTGGTGTTTTTAGCCTTTTCTCCATTTCATAACACCTAAATGAAAAAAATGTGTTGAATTATTATTTAGTATTAATATTAGCATTTCAAAGTTGAATGAAGGTAACAAACCTGAAAATAAAATAAGCATGTCATGATACATAAGAAAGACTTATCACCAGGTGCCAGTTGCTCACGCCTGTAATCCTAGGTACCTGGGAGGCTGAGATTGGGAAGAGTGTGGTTTGAGGCCAGCCTGGACAAACAGTTCAAGAAACCCATCTCCAAAACAACCAGGGCAAATGAACTGGAGGTGTGTCTCAAGCAGTAGAGCACCTGTTTTGCAAGCATGAGGTCCTGAGTTGAAACCCCAGCTCCACCTCACTGACTCCCCAAAAAAGAAAGACCAATAAAGTGCTATATATTACTTAACAACACCGCATTTGGTCAACACTGAATTGTGATCTTATCCAGGCTCTGACCTTAATAAATGTGCCAGGATATTTAAGAATTACACTGAGCTTCATAAAAGATTACACCTTGGTATTTGTATCCTAGTTTTAACAAAAGGGATCTTACTATGGTTCCACTAATGAATAAAACACTATGTTTAAAAATCAGCTCCATGTGTGAGACAACACTGCAGTGCCCATATGAGCTTTCTTTAGGTTCTACTAAGTAGTCGAGGCCAAAACCATATTTGGCACTAGCCAAAGTGTGAAGACAGGAACCTTGCCACAATGTTAGTTTTGTGTCACACTCCTTGCAGCAGAAGCCATTTTTCCCCTAGGTAAAACACAGGTACAAAAAGGCAAAATTCACACTTGCTAAGGGTGGTGCATACATTGGCTTAAAGCCTCATACCCTATGTAAAAGCCACTCACTCATGCAATAACTCCACAAATACAGAACATCCAGGGTTCCCCATGGGCACGTAAAGTTACAACAGTCACCATGTTGGTGGAAGCCCAAAGATATGGCCTTCCACCAGGTATTTCTAGTTCTCCAGTCCTTATCTAGTTTGTCAGTTGGGAATCATTTTTTAATAAGCAATGTTGCCTAGTAACTCTGAACTCAAAGTAGAATACCCGGAGAACAAAGTTAAACAAAAGTCAAATTCTCAAACAGAAAGGAAAATAGCTGTCAATCCTTTACCCAAAACAAAATTAAAGCAGGTATTTTGACAGTAAACCTGACTTACGGGTTGTTTTGCTCCAGCACAAGTCACATCTGAGTCTGACTGATTTAGCTTATTTCTGTCGTTGCAAAAATAGCCAAAGGAGAGCATACGCATTTTCATAAAAGTTTGAAATCTGGAGATATATTATCGTACTGAGTAAGTTACTAATTCTGTTGCAGATTTGAAAGCATCCTTGAGACAACATTTTATAGCAATGTTTTGGTTCAAAGTTCCTATTCCTAATCATTTCTCAAGGCTTATCTCCATGGGATCCCAAGTAAAATATGTTGCGATTTTTTTAACAAAAACGTTCTGTTTAAAAAAGGACAGAAGAGCCTTTCAATTCTGATGACACAAACCTGAGCTGCATGCCAATGTTGAGATTGTGCAGAAAGTTTCCTCCAAAAGCCATACAATCCTGAGAAGTGAGCACAGCATGAATCCACCCTGGAATGGTGCAAGTATATAAATCAGTCATCTTTCAATATTTAAACCAAACAGTTGTATTATACTACCTGTGAAATAAGTAATCAACATCAGTTTACTCTACACTCTGGTGCTAAAAAAAAGATAATGCTTATTCAATTGGTTCATTCAATAAGTATTTATTAAATGCCTATAATATGGCAGGCTCTGTGTTTGAGGAATAAAGTGAAGGTTTTTGGTGGGTGTTTCTGGTTTTTAGTTTAAAAAACATAATTCAACTTTACAATTAAAGATTTTACACTAAGACAAGTCAAATCTGGTTTGAATTAGGAAAACACACTTTCCATTAAAGAACAGGGAGGTTGGATGAGCATTCAGTTTCACGAGTGTCACAGTGAAATGAGTGTCCTGAGTGGAACAAGTAGAGAAGAACCAGGCAACTCAATCTGAAACCCAAATCTGTAAGAAGGAAAAGGCAAATTACCCACATTTAATCGGATGGGTCATGGTCCTAAAACATAAATGCTGACTATCAAAATTATGGTGCTTTTTCCATTAAAATGATTTTAAAATGAGAGTCATTTCTAAGAGATAATGCCTAGCAAATTTTTTAAAGAAATGTTAACAGGCTTGATATAAAGACTTTATAGAAAAATAAATTGTGCTGAGCATTCATATAGGTACAAAAGTTGTTCGTTATTAATATGTGCCTAGAAACTAAAATTCTACTATATATTTAAACGAAGTATTTCTTCATGGTTTTGGCACAATTTCCAGGAAAGCAACTACTCTGTAAAGTGAAGGAAACTACAGTATTGTTTGTTTAGAAGTTTAACAATTGCTAACAATCTTGGGGAAAAAAGTCATATTTCCTATAGCAGTTGTTCTCCAAGTACAGTCCCCAGATTGGGCACTAGCAATCAGCCAGGAATTTGTTAGATATGCAAATTCTCATGACCGGGTGAAGTGGTACATAAATGCAATTCCAGCACTTGAAGCCCTTCGAGTTCCAGGCCAGCCTGTGCTACACAGCAAGAGGGAAGATGAGCTGGGAGAGTGGCTCAAGCAGTAAGAATGCCTGCTTACTTACTTACTTACAAGCATGAGGCCGAGTTCAAACCCCAGTACTGCCAAAAAAAAAAAAAAAAGGGCAGGGAGAGTGAAGAGGAGAGGGGGTTAGGGAGAATCCATTCTCTGGCCCACCCCAGACTTACGAATCAGAACCTTGGGGATGAGTACCAGCAATCTATGATTTAACAAGCCCTCTAGGTGAGACTGATGCTCCATGAAGTTTGAGAACCACTAACGTACACCAATGCTACTGACAGAATTTGAGTTGCCATGAGCACATATGTACTGGTTTTACTGGCTCATGAGGTTAACCATTTCATTCTATCCTCCAATGCTGCTGAGCATATAACCACATATCAGAACAGCATTTCATCATAAATTACCTTTCAACTTCTTTCTATTCCAGTTAGGTCATTAGATTTTTAAAAATTATTTATGTAGGATGTTATCTATGATTCAATTCAAGAGGGCACAACAAAATACTAGAAACAGGAGCATTCACAATGAAAATACTAATACCTGCCTAGACATAAACGCTGATAGTTCTAGGCACTGACTCATTTACTCAAGCATTCATTTATTATTCTATAAACTGGTAAGAAAGTAGGGCGTGGAGAAACAGAGCCCAGTGAACTCTGCAGCCATTGAGGTTGCCCAAACCAGAAGCCCACAAGCCTGGAGAGCCTATACTCTGCATTTGTTCATCTCAAATCAATACTATATCTATTACTTGAGGTACATGGTACAGAGAGGTTCAGCAGTTCCTCAAAAAGTTAAACATAGTTAAATCATGCAATGCAGCAATTCTACTTCTTGACCCATGAGAAATCAAAACATACCTCCTCATAAAAAGTTGTACACAAATTTTCAAAGCAGCACTATTTATAATATCCTAAAGTGGAAACAGCCAAAATGTCCATCAACTGATGAATGAATGAGCAAACAAAATATGGTATACCATACAATGGGCCATAAAAAGATAAACTTACTTACTTTTATGTGCTAGAGCATGGATGAGCCTAGAAAATATTATGGTAAGTGAAAGAAGCTAGACACAAAAGGCCACATATATGAAGTATCCAAAATAGGCAAATCCATAGAGACAGAAAATATATTAGTAGTTACCAGAGAATCAGGGAAGAAGGGGAATGAGAGTGACTACTAAAGGGTATGTAGTTTCTTTTGGAATGATGAAAATATTGTAGAGAAACAGAAGGTTGTGGTGATAGTTGTACAACTTTATTAATCAACTAAAAAACCACTGAATTGTTGTCCACTTTAAAAGAATGCTTATTATAGTATGTGAATTTTATTTCAATAAAACTTAAAATGAAGGTAAGTGACATAAAACAATGCCAAAAGATATCCTAACTGTAAGAGAAGCCCTCTAAAAGACAAGGAAGTAAAAAGTCCCAGGTAAGTATTATTGCTTAGGCAATATCACAAAAGCTACTTTCTAAAGATGGTAAGCCATAAATTCTAATTATGAGCTGATTTCATGTGACTGGGTATCAACCATGCAGAGTGAGAGATAGAACTAAAACCTTACCTGTAGGAACAAATAAGGTATGCCCCTGCTTCACCACACATTTGTAGCATTTGTCTACTTTATCTCCAAAGAACACCTCACTCTGGGTCACAGATGAACTCCATGATTCATAGAGTACCAAATTTTCATTTGTTGGCTTTATCAAATAAAAAATCTTCTCACCCTAGAAGGAAGTAATACTCTTTGAAAAAGCAACAGCCATTCTTAGGGTGGTCTACATTGGTATAATACAAGAATCTAAGTTAAATTAGGTAACTGTCAGATTTTCTTTGAGGTTTAGAAAGACCTATTTCACACACCTGATCAGCAGCCAATTCCCTTAATCAGCATTTCCACAAGAGCTAAAGTTTCCCCCACTCCCAACTGTCAAGTCAATAATCACGCTGATAAAATCACTGCGAGAGTAAGAACCACAAACTGATGACCTATTTTTAAGGCATAGGAGGACATACACTTTAATGGACCGCAGGTCACAGCACAGTTCTCTCAAGCTGTGCCCTAAGACCTACAACATGATCTGTAAATAAACTTCCTTCAGTGAACTCTGCATCCTCAAGGAAAAGAGGAAAAGGAGGTCAAGGATACAGGATCAAATATGTTACACAGCTTTGCTGGGGCATAAGCACCAGCATCTGATACACAAGATGTGGTTCCAGATCAGCACTAAGGAAGTTTTTTTATATCTGTGCTACCCAGTACAAAAGTCATTAGCCACATGTGGCTACTGAGCATTTGAAATGTAGCTAGTACAAATGAGGGAGTGACTTTTTAACTAAATTGATTCATACATGGCAAGTGAATACTCTATTAAGCTATGCAGTTCTAGATAAAGCAAAGTGAATATAAGTAACGAGTTAGTTATGCTTTTGTGATTTCCAAGCAGTTAGTTGTCTTATACCAACTTTAAGGCCAAAGCAATTATTACTATAATTTTGTTCCTTTTTATGTATTTGGTTTGAAGATTAATGGTAACTGACTACAGGAAAAGGAAAAAAGGGACACATAAGGCAAACTGAAACCAAATTAAAAGGGCAAAAAGGAATCTAAATATCATTGAAGAACCCATGGCTCTTCTTGGGATTAAAAACAAAACAAAACATAATGCTTAAGTCCTACTTAAAAAGTAGAAAACTCCTACCTTTACCAATGTTATTTATAGCAAATGAATATACCACCAGAAAAATATAACATGTTTTTGTCCATACAAGAACAAGAAAAATCCTAGTCTTACCCAGAGGACATGGTACCAGACTGAAGTCCCACCGAAGTCAATGTGGAAATCTGTATAGCTGTCTTGAACTCCCATTAAGCAGTATTTCTGAACAAATGGCTTGGGAAACACTGAATCATCTGGCCAATAATTTTCAACCCAAGATAGCTTTCTGGCTATATCAGGGACCTCCACCAATTCAGACATCCTTTAAAAAAAAAAAAAAAAACCCATACATACATACACACATACATACATACACACACACACACACACACACACACACACACAGAGAGAGACACACACACAATGCAAATTTAGATTTCTTAAAATTGCTTTTCTCATGTCAACTCAAACCAAATAATTAACTGGAACTGAAGGTTAACAATACTTAAACATATCATTTTTCTAAATATTCTATGAGCAGATTAAAGCAAACTTTACCTCATTGCTACACCAGTGGACAGCTACAGAAGTCACAATTATGTTCTTATTAAAATAAATATATCATCAAACTACATTAGCTGAAGTTCATATATCATCAAACCACATTAGCTGAAGTTCATAATGCTAAACCAAAATATCCAGAGCTACTCACTTTGTATCTGAAAATTCAAGGCTGATCACATTTAACACTTTTGGTCTGTTAGGATTCGTGAAGTATTTAACATAATTGTGAAGTGTCATTTTGCTGTCTGCCTGCCTTGCCACATCAATGACATCTATCACTTTGTCACCACCTGCAGAGAAAAATTATAGTCTAATTATTAGGCTTAAGAGTTACATCAATAGATACCCTAAACAAAACTATTTCAAAGACCTTACCTGCTTAGTATGATAATAAGCCAACTACAAAACTACATAGCTGCAGAATTTACATTGAGTGTAAAAGCTTTCATGGCTTACTAAGTTTTCTATGTATCAATGATTTCTTGTGTGCAACCCGTAATGACAAAAAATACATTATACTGGGAGGTGAAAACTGTCAGACACTTTCTGGGTTTTGATTTTCTCATGCATAAAATGAGGCTTTTTATATTATCTATAAAATTCTAAGTCTGACTCTACCTCTTTTTTTTTTTTTTTTTTTTTTTTCTTCCAGCACTGGGTTTTGAACCCAGGGTTTCTTTTGTGCTTGCCAGGCAGGCATTCTACCACTTAAGTCACACCCCCCCCCCCCCGCAGTCTTTTATGCTCTGGTAATTTTGGAGACGGGGTCTTGTTTTTTTCCTGGGCCAGCCTGGACCACAATCCTATTTCTGCTTCCTTCAGTATCTGAGATGACAAGTGCTTGCCACCATGCTCAGCTTTTTCTGTGAAAACGGGTCTTGTGAACTTTTTGCTTAGATTGGCCTTGAGCCTCGATCCTCCAATCTGTGCCTCTTGAATAGCCACAATTATAGGCATGAGCCACCAGCACCCAGCTAAGTCTACCATTTTGAAGAACAAACCAGTCATCAGGGAATTAGGGAGCAAGGTGACTAGGACAAATAATTTATGCTCTCCTGACAATGTCTTCTAATATCCTTCTTCAGGGAAAAATTAGTGGTTAGGAAGCAAAAATCAGTTCACATTATACCTATCTAAATGACCATATTTTGAATTGTGATTAAATTATGTTCCTATAAAACCATGGGGTGATGCTTGTTTGGCACCTGCACAATCAGTTTACAATGGACTACAAAATAAGATAGATTCAAACTATGGCAATACTCAACCAAATTGAAAGAGAACACATCCATACCACTTTCCTACTATAATATAAGTTCATGGAGGTGAAGAAAATTGCCGCTCAGGCTTCCTTATTTCATCTGTAGGATATAACACAGTTCTACTACTAGTATTTAACTAAGGTGCTTTATAGTACTACAATGTTAGCCATCAAACAGTTTGAACATTTCTTCCTATTCTTGTATTACACTAGCCACTTCTTTTATAGTGGGAACAGGTTTAGATTAAACCTCAGCCTCATCTCCTAATTTATCGCATATTCAAATTTAGCTGAATGTGAAGTCATGACATTCAATTAGATTTCCTCAGTGAAACAATTATCAATAAGAATTGTCAACCAATAGCTCAATAAAGGAACAAGTTCTTCGATATTCCATGCTGGACATAACATATTTAGTGAATATACAATTCTGAGTCAAGGTAGGTTTGAGATCTATCTATTGCTGACAAATGGTATCCACATATAATTAGCTTTATCTGTAAATATCATGTTGGCAATAAATGAAAGGACTGAAAATGTCAACAATAGCACAATCCATAAAGAGCTTTTCATCTTGTTTCTTATTACTTTCTGAACCTCAAAATCACAAACTAAGTCCAGGTGTATTTACATCAATATATAAAAAATGGGTTTGAATGTAATTTTTTTTTTTTTGGCAGTACTGGGGCTTGAACTCAGGGCCTCACACTTGCTAGGCAGGCACTCTACCACTTGAGCCATGCCCCCAGCCCTTTTTGTTTTAAGTATTTTTTTGCAAGGGTCTTTCATTGTTGTTCTGGTGCTGCAATCCTATTTACACTGGCATCCAGCATCACTGGGATGACAAAACGTACTACCACACCCAGTGTATGGTTAAGATGGGGTCTCATTAACTTTTTTTACCCAAGCTGGCCTCAAATCTTGATCCTCCCGAGTACCTAGGACTGCATGTATGAGTGACCACACCCAGCTCATAATCTCTTTTTATGGCTCCTCCTATAGGTGAGAGGAGGTCAAGAAGCAGGTTCCAGAGGACTACTAGGTACAGTGGTCTCTGGGGATTTTGCTGCTGAGTTCTAGTTGTCAGAACTCATCCAGTTCCCAGGTCTTCTTGGCACCTCTGACTGCCCCTCAATAATGGCTTTCCCTAAGCAAGTTTCAAATTTAATTACACCAAAGACGGCAGCAAGACGAGGCTGAGTAAATAAGAACAGGTCAAACATTTCATTGTTTTTCTGACCATTGAAGGTCATCTGCTGAGAAAAGCTTTTCAACAGAGGTGATACTGAGTAGTTCCAGAACTAAACTGACATTTCTTCATTCGCTTTTAATACTGTTAGGACACTATCATTATTATTTTTACCGTGTTTTCCCAAGCACTCAAGAAACCAAGTTCGTACCTACATAACGTTCCACATCCATCACAGAAAAAGCAGGAGAAGGGAGCCTGAGTCCTAGATCATCTAATTTAGAGACCATAATAGGGACATCAAATCCATGTTTCTCCAGGTATCTTTGTGTCAGCTGACTGCCATGCATCTTTACAATTATTTCATCGGCACTAAGAAAAACATAACAAAATGTCATTTTTGGTTGGTAAGTTGCTTAAAATTACTGTGATAAACCATTAACTCATATACTGCATAATTATATCAGTGATCATCAACCTAATAAATCTCCTCTTAAAAAATATTTTCTAAAGCCCCTTTTGGCTATTCTAAAATAAAATTCACAAATAATATAACCTACTGAATTCAATACATGTATAATTGGAAAATATATAAAGCGATCTAAGTAAAAAAGAGAAAAAATTATGGCAAAATATTTATTTCAAAAAGTAAATGTTCAGGAAAACTACACTAGAAGACATAATAATAGGACGTTTAAAGTTAGCTGTAACGAATGGCTGAATTTAGAAGTGAAAAAGCCACCCAATGCAAACTGTAGGAAATCAAAAAAGCAAAAAGCTAGGGTATACATTAAAATAAAAAGTAGTGCTAGACAAGTAAAAACAAACCAGATTTTTATCTGATTATATAATTCTATATGAATATTTGTCAGACATTTCAATGTCTAATGGAACATGAAACAATTGTCCTGCATGCTGGACAATGACTATTACCCCTGGTCAAAACAAGCACCCCAAATCTCCCTACTAAGAACTACTGATCTAAATAATCTGTTACAACTAGTGTTTAGTAAGTTTTTTCTTTTTGTCTTTAAGTGGTGCTGGAGTTTGAACTCAGAGCCTTGTAGTTGCTATATAGGTGTGCCTACCACTTGAGCCATACCCTCAGTCCTTTTTGTGTTAATTATTTTTCAGATTATTTTTCAGATAGGGTGGGTCTTACATTTTTGCCCGGGCCAGTCTGGACCAAGATCCTCCTGTCTGTCCCTCCCACATAGCTGGAATGACAGGTACATGCTACCATGCCTGGCTTATGGAAATGGGGGGTCTCACTAAGTATTTTTGCCTGGGCTGACCTCAAATTGTAGTCCTCCCAATCTCTGCCTCCCAAGTACCTGGGATTGTAGGTATGAATTACTGCACTCAGCACCCACACACACAGGTTTGAACTCATGGCCTCATGCTTCCTAAATAGGCACTCTACCTACCACTTGAGTCATAAACCCAGCCTGAGTTTAATATTACGTAGTCACTTTTTTTTTTTCCCTGAGACAAGTCTTGCTGGCCTCAAACTCTTGATCCTAGGTAGTCACCTTAATCCATCAAAACTTGTTAGACTTCAGGCAGCCCTCTGTGATAATCAATATGCTTTTAGACATTACACTTAAGTGTAGCTCATCCCTTGTCACCATCCTCCATCACCATAAATCCAAAGAACTCCAGAATACAGCTTCTGTATGCTACATTCAAAGATAAGTGCAAGATTTGCCTAAAGGTTAAAACAGAGCAACTTCTATTTATACAACCAACCTTAACTGTTGTTTTATTCTAAGTGGCAAGGAGCAAACAAGAGAAAAAGGAGATTCTGATTCTCTAAATTACTGGGCTCTGATCTTCCTACCCCTCAATAAGGCAAGAGAGGCCTAAGAAAGTTCAGACAGTCTTATAAATGGATGGCTCAGATTTTCTTTATCTGACCCACGTACGGAACTTGAGTTCTATCCTAGCATTCAGTATCTCCAATAAGCATTCACAATTATCCCTTTTCCTTAAACCCCTATCTAAAAGAGAATTTTAATAATTTGTGCTCCCTGTTTAGTGTTTTACTTCCCCTGTTGTTCAAAAATATATAGACATAAGTGCCTAAAATATAAGCACAATGCTATTTGCAAGAGGAAAAACTGGAGACAAACTAAATATTTATTACATGGAAATGTAAAGTACATTATGATATATACACACTATTGTATGCTATACAGCAAATAAGGAATGAGGGAAATCTGTGCATACCTATGGCTACGTATGAAATAGAGTAAAAAAAAGGAAAGTTCCACTACACTATGCATAATGCCGTAATTTTTTTTAAATCACATGCACATGTAATATCCATATGTGTAAATGTTTTCAATGCTATTACAGTAAGACTGTCTTATTTGTAGATGTATTATACACAGGCAAAAAAAAAATAAAACATGGTCAAAACATAAACAAAAAAGAAATCTCAAAAACAAAAGTTGGCTGGGCGAGTGGTTCATGCCTATAATCCTAGCTATTAGGAATGAAGAGATCAGGAAGACTGCAGTTTAAGGCTAGCCCAGGCTAAAAGTTAGCATGACTATACCTCAATCAATAAAGCTAGGCAAGATGGCATGCATCTGTCATCCCAGGTGTAAAATAGGAGCATGGGATACAGGCAGCCCAGGCAAAAACAAGAAACCCTATTAGAAAAATAACTAGCAAAAAAAAAAAAAAAAAAAACATAGGATGCCAGGTTGGTGGAGTGGCTCAAGTGGAAGAGCACCTGCCTAGCAAACATGAGGCCTTGAGTTCAAACCCCAGTACCACCCTCCCCCCAAGAAAACAACATAGAAAAGTAACTTAAGGAAAAAGGGCCAGTGGAGTGGCTCAAATGGTAGAGCACTTGCCTAGCAAAGTGTGAGGCCCTGAGTTCAAACCCCAGTGCTATCAACAATACAAAACAAAAAACAACAAACCACCCAAAAAGCAAGGTGAAATCCTCCCAAGCCAAAAAAGGGAACATAATGGGCTTAATTTATGTGGTAAAGTAAAAATTGTAGATTTGTTAAAAGGAAGCATATCTTTAGCCAAAGTTGGGAGGTGTAAGGGAAAAATAAATGAAGTTTGCAAACTATTAGAGATAATAAGCAGGAAGACCTAGTTTTCGATGAGCAGTATTAACATGTACGACAGTAACTTTCATGACAGTAACGTAGCCTACTCTATGCAGTTTCAAGTCCTCCTGTCCACACAGTATAGGTAAATTCGAGCTACTGAACATGTGCAGTTTTTCCTAAGCAACAGTCTCCTTGGAGCCATATACTCATGAATACCAAGGGTTTACTGTATTTATATTTCAAGAGAAAAAAAAAAGAGTCTCAAAAAGACTTATGCTAAGTTAGTTTCTTGATTTTTTGAGACAGGTTCTTGCTATGCAGCCCAGGCTGGCCTCAAACTTGTCATCCTCCTGCCTAGCATCCTGAGTGTTGGGATTACAGATGTGTACCACCATGCCTGGCTATTACACTAAGTCTTAAAATAGGAGAAAGGGAAGAAACCCATTCACTTTATTTTATACACTTCTGTGTTAATTACATCAAGTATTATGATTTAGTAATTATTGTTACTCTACCATGGTTTTTAAATTAAAAGGGTTCTAGAATTAAATAAAATAAGACCAGATCTTTAATTAATGGTAATTACAGATTGAACATCTATGATTATCTCTAACCTGTTCTCGTTTGTGTTCATTTTGGCAGAAAAGCCCTGTGAATTACAAGGTCACTGTTTTTCAAACAACTTTTTTTTTGGCCGTACTGGGGTTTGAGCTCTGCACCTCACTGCTCCATCACTTCAGCCATGCTCCAGTCCTTTTTCGCTTTAGTTATTTTTCAGATCGGGTCTTACACTTTTTTCCTGGGCCTGCTTTAGACCAAGATCATCTTACCTATTCCTTCTGTCTAGCTAGGATTACAGTTTGTGCCACCATGCACAGCTTCTTGGTTGATATGGGGGGGGGGGGTTTCACTAACTTTTTGCCCAGGCTGGCCTCAGACCTCGATCCTTCCAATTTCTGCCTCCTGAGTAGCTAGGATTACAGGCACTGCACCACCATACCTAGTTAATATTACTTTTTTTTTTTGGTTGGGCAGTTATAAAACTACTTGAAATAGCTCCTCTCCCTGAAAAATTCACACTTACACATTAGCAGCAAACTGTATACAGTTTTAGAGAGACCACAAAAACCTCTCTGAGACCCAGACCAAAAATCTGGGCTTAGGCTCCAAATCAATCAGGTATCCAATAAAAAGGAAAAAGGCTAATATTTCTCCTACAACTCTGAAATTGGCCTTTTAACACAACAAAAGTCATGTAAAGCATTATGTTTCTTAAGTTTTTTTTTTTTTCTGTTGGCAGTCCTAAGGTTTGAACTCAGAGCTTTGTACTTACTATACAAATGATTTACCACCAGCCTTTTTTTTCTTTTTAGACAGGGTCTGGCTATGTAGCCCAGGCTGGTCTCAAACCTTTTTTTTTTTTTTTTGGTAGAATTGGAGTTTGAACTCAGGGCTTCACTCTTGAAAACAAGGGCTCTCCTGCTTGAGCCACCAGTCCAATTTGGAGATGGGGTCTAGAGAAGTATTTCCCCCAGGCTGTTCTTAAACTGTAATCCTCCTGGATCTCAGCCTCCCTACGATTACAGGTGTGAGCCACCAATGCCTGGCTTCTTTCTATTCCTCAGCAGACCTGAGGAACCAACATGAATGCTTATCATTATGTTTTTGTTTAAGGATTAAAGTAGGGAGGACAGACAGGAATCCTAAAGATCGTGGGAAAATAGCAGGGATTTTTCATTTCAGGATCTGAAAAAATTCTGTAATAAGCCAAACTCAATACTGTGGTTTAAATTTAAATTGTGCTTCCCCTTCTTAACATGTGGGGATATGATCTTGTGTAAAAGTCTATTAAGCACTATCATTTAAATAGATGTCAGGCAGTGAGTAGGAAATGATCTAAATTAGCATGAGTAACTGCTTTAAAATGCTTTTGACTCTCTGAGCCACAGACAATTCAGACATGTTCCATTATTTTAAAAACTCAAAAAGCTCAGTCTTGCTGCCATCAGTAGCTAAGCAATGGCTGTGCATGCTTCTGGTGGACTTAGGGCATACACGCTAGTGAAAACAATGTGAAAGAAAAACAGCTAGAAAATAGGAGAAGGTGGGGAGAAAGAAAGTGAGAAGCAGCAGCTGCATATCAGCTGCATCCCAATATCAAATATTGATGCTTGTGAGCCACAATTAAGAAGTGTATTTTTACATGGTGACCCACTAGGCACACATAAACAGAAAAAGTTCTATGAAACTATGCTTCCTTATTCTTATTTCCTACAATTGACTGATATTTTCTATTCTATTCCATGAAGGAAAAAAGTGGAAAGCCTGTTGAGAACAATAACGTGTTGCAGCCTGAAGTTTGAAAACACTACTTTAGAAAATGTCACTTCACCAGTCAATGGTGTTCAATTTTGTTTGATGAGTGGAAGTCCATACCTTGGGAAGACTCGAGAGCGTAATTCCTTTACAAAAGTCCTAGTTCCAGCTTGCACTGGTTTGGAACCATCATCCATTTCCGTGTAGTCATGCCTGTGCCAGTTCCTCCTCTTTTTCACTGAATTTTTAGAAGATTAAAAAAAGAAAACATTGTTGGTAACTGGTGATACTATGTACTTTCTAATTGCTATAGTCCATGTAATCAAAAGTAACAACTGTAAATACAATTTTTAAAAAACTCTACTTTTTAATACATTTCCAAGGCTGCAGAAGTAAATTTTACTTAATCTAATGCTGCAATTATAGACAATTAACTGTGGATTTTAAAAGCCTAACTCTTTATTTCAAAATAATTTAAAAATTAAATCAAAGAATTCATGCCAGAAGATGAAGTCTTTTATAATATCCTTTTATAATGTTACAAAAGGATAAGTTACATAAGCCTTTTATTATATTTCCAAATTATTTTAAATTACGGTTTTCATTGGAACATTAGGTCAAATATGATTATCCAGATCATCCAATTATCCTCTCAGAATAGGGTCTTTTCTCCCACACCAGAAATCTATTTTAATAGCATAATTCCACTTTCTTGTGTATATATAAAGATTTACTCCTAAAATAAGCATGTTTACACTGACACAGAGAACAGCTTACAGCGCGGCAGACATGATGACAAAATAAATAACCTACGGTTAGTTCCAATGCCAAGATCCTATGACTCTACATCTCTAGAAGGTTATAACCTTGAGTAGTCACAACAATCAAAATCAAGAGACTTGGATTTGATTACTTGTTCATCTATTAACTTCATCTGCAACCTTAAGGCAGGTCACTTAACACCTCTGGGTCTGATTCTTCAAGATAGGAATGAAAGGGATAGTTCACAGTACCAATTTTCAAACTTTGTGAGAGGAACCCTTAACAAAGAGAGAGATAGAGAAAAGGTCAAGACAGGAACCCTGGACCTTGTTCCTCTTTCTATCAGAGTGGTACCATCTATATGTCTAGTATCAATGTAAAATTTCAGGGTTTTTGTTTATTTTTGAGACAGGTTCTCACTATGTAGTACAGGCAAGCCTGGAACTCTCCATCTTTTGCCTCTACCTGTAGAGTAGATTTCTGTTTTAAATCTTTTTTTTTTTTAAGCATGAAAATCACTTTTTAGCCTATAATTCTCATGAATCTGATTTTCTGGTACTGATATCCACAACGGACCTAAAAATATACCAAATAAATAAATAAGATGGATAGATAGTGGGATAGTTACATGGAGAGATTACGTGGAAAAGCAAGTGATATAAAATAGTAATATAATTTGGATGCTAAGGCTTACGGATACTTGCTGTACATTTACTTCACCTTTTCCTGTATGCTTGAAATTTTTCATAATAAAATTTTAGGGGGAAACAATTCTATGATTCCAAGCTATTTTAAACCTTTGCCTTACCAAGATCATAATGTAACTGGATCATATGTATAAGGAGGGTCACACTTTAGTAACAAGAGCAGAACTCAGGGCTACTCATATCTCAGAGTTCACAACAAGAATCCCAAGTAACTTACTGTTGCTAGATCTTCTATTGGGAAGAGATCAAATCCCATTTTAAAAAAAGTATCTCTTAAGAAAAGTTTAGAATCACAGAGAAACCTTCCTAAGAAATTCCATTAAGAAACTGTGTGCTATTTTTTTTTCTCACTTAAAACCACTCCTAAATTTAAGGGAAGGTTTTTTTCCCTCCGTACACAGATATTTAATTCCATTTTATTTTCAGCTGGGATCACAATGTTTATCCTGCACCCTTCTTGAATGAGCATTTTTTCCTTACTGAATATTCAAAAGCAATTTAAAGACAGCCTATAATTTTAAAATGTGGATTACCATATTATAATTATTTTTGATTCTTAAGCACTTAGTTCATTCTCAGTCTTTCTCCAAACAGTGTAATTAATATCCATATACATTAATCTGTTTCCCCTGATTAATTTCTCAAGATAAATTTTTAGAAATGCTAGAAGAAAGATCACCAATTTTAAGATACTTGCTACATACTGCAAAACTGCCTCCAAAAAAATGGAGATAACTCTCATTCTTACCACCAGTATTGTACAGGTAGCCTAGTTCAAGACCCTGTGTCAATAATAAGCATCATTAAAACAACAACAAAAGCTGCTCATTTGATAAGTGAACAATGACACTGTATTTCTAAATTTCTCATTTTTGCAAAGCAGATTAATCAGTAAAGTGCAATGACTTTGGGATTCAACAACTATGGGTTCAAACAATAGCTCTGCAAAATAGCTACATGATTAGATCATTTTTCTCATATCTTTTATCAAGTTGTTATAAATATCAAGGAACATACTAGCACCTGGCATAGAATAAGCTGCCAATTACTATCATTTCCTTTAAATGTGCTGACTGGCAGAAGTTTAACAGAGGACACAATTGTCCTATTGGGCCATGCTTAAAACATAAAATCAGTTATAGCTGATGACTGAATTTCTTAAGGGAAGGAGGTGGCCAGTGAAGAAATATTTTAGTAGTGGTCATAGGAAAAGGAGGGAAAATGTTCTGTTTGGGCTACATGTGCCTAAGGAACACACAGAATAAACATGTAAGTATTGAGCTGTTTTCTGAGACCTGCTCTCCAATAGTGTTCTCTAATTCCCAGAGAGCAAAGTTCAAATTTACCATAGTAAGTAGGTATCACAATGGTATCTATAAGGAAGCTCAGAGGAATTCTGAAAGGAACAGGAAACCCCAGGTACCAAGCAAGAGGGGCTTAAAAGCAGAGGAAAAGGAAAATTGAAAGAAATTACCCACGTTGTGGTGGACAGTGAGGGAAAGTAAGCATTAAATTATGACAAAACAGATTGGTGCATCTCGGGAATTTTCCCTTTGAGTGCTCAGATCTGGACCCTTGTCCTGAAGATAGGCAATGCCTAATTCTATGTTCTTCAAGGTTGAGAAGCATCCTAAGGACCATGTCATAATAGACAGCTTCTCTGTGAAGTATCACTATTCAAAGTACAAGTCACATTCCATTATGGACTATGTACTCAATTTATCAAGAGTGACAAATTTTTTAAAAGATGAAATCATATAGGGAAAATAAAGTATATCATAAGTACATTCTTCTGCCTCTTACTAAATCAGTATTTCATACATGTTAAATTCAAACTATTTTATTTTGGCATTATATACTTGAATTATAAACTCAAACTTTAGTTCTGATTCCCCTGAGATAATAACACTGTGTTATTTGCTTCCTCTAAGACTTATTCTTTTTTTGGTGATACTGGGGTTTGAACTCAGAACCTTGTGCTTGCTAAGTAGGTGCTCTATCACTTTCTCTACCCCCTGAAGACTTAATTCTTGATCAAGAATTATTTCACATACCACTGGAGTATATACCACATACTCCAATGTTACACAGAGCAAGATCTATGCAGTAATTCCACCAGTTTGTTAACCTTAAGGTTTATATTGTGTAACTAACAAAACAGATCACCTATATTTGATAAGAAAAGATTGTGATGCATTCATCCAGCTTAAATTTCTGAGTCTCTCACAAAGGAATAAAGAAAATGATTAATATTTCTAACATAATAGGTGAGCAGCTGGTTGCTAGTAAGTCTCTTCAAAAATTATTTGTGTATAACATCAGAACAAAATTTCTATTTAAAAAAGTACTAGGGAGAAATTAGTGCACATTCAAATTACACAGGTCACAAGTTGCCTGCAACCCGCCCACATGTATACCAAGGTATCTTTAGACTAAAGTTCCTTCTAGTTTTAAAATGACAAAAATAAATAAATAGATAGATAAAATAAAATGACAAAGCCTGGGAGGGGGGGATAAAGGAGAATGATGGAGTGGGTGAATTCAAGAATAATTTATTGTAAGATTTTGGTAAATGTCGCAATATACCCCCAGTACAACAATCACAGAAATAGATTTTTTAAAATAAATAAAATAAAATGACAAAGTCTATAGTTTCCCTTTAATTTTGTGAACATAGAATCATAGTTTACATCCTTTTTTTTTTTTTTTTTTTTTTTGCTGGGACTAGAGTTTGAACTCAGAGCCTCATACTTGCTAGGCAGGTACTCTACCACTTACAACATAATCCAAAGTCTTTTAAATATTTTCTCTCACATTTGTATGTGATAATTAATATTCCAGTTTTTTCTTCAGAAGCATCTACAAAAGGCTAAAAATAAATTTCATGTTGTAATGTATAATCCAGAGGACACAGGAAACTTCCCTGCCTTTGCCTTGTCCTCTTCAGAAGAAGATTGTGATCAAAGACCTTATCTGGCCTTACCACTCCATCTTTCTATTTCCCTGTGGACATCAGAAGAGAAGTTTCAAGCAGAAAGGAAGATTGAGCAAGACTCCAGGACATACTCAATATGACAACCACATTCAGAAAATATGAGTAATAACTTCAGCCAATCAATACTCTAATTTTCTCCTAAAAATGAATATATATGTGTATTAGAGTCAAATCTTATTCTGTACACTGTTCCAAAACACTACAGAAAACTCTTTTTTTGTAAAGAGATAAAAATGGTCAAAATAAGTTTCCACAATCAGAAAAACTTTATTTGCTACGCTTCTCAAATTGAAAGTTTTGAAAATATGAACTTACAAACATAAGGGCTCTGCACTGGCAATTAAAAATGTTAATATCTTTCCTTTGCTCTTTTGATTTATTTAATAAACTGCACTGTAAGTGTCTCCTTTATTTATTTGTTTGTTTGTTTTGGTGGGACTGGGGTTTGAATTCAGGGCTTTGCATTTGCAAAGCAGGTGTTCTACAGGTTGAGCCACACATCCAGTCCAATTCTAAATATCATCAGTGAAATCCTCCCTATAGTTCTTACACTGTCATCAAAGTATTACCATACACATATTACATTCAAAACATCAATTTTTATTTAAGCACCTGGTACTTACTCAAAGAGGAACCATGTAGAACGGCACAGTTGGGACAGTGATACAAGTCAATGTCAACAGCATAATGTTCTTCTACTCCAACACAGCTAAGATAAAGAAAATAAAGTCAATAAACTAAGTTGAAAATCTTTACTTAACTATAATACAGTGTATGAAGTGAGCTGAGAAATGCACAACCACCTCACCAAAAATTTGGTACAGCACAGAAACATGTGTAAGGATAAATTTCACTCTGTTCTCCATGCACTTGCTTAGTAATTGTGGAGGAAAATATACCCAAACATATACAAAGTGATTCACTCTCAGCAGCACTAAAGATATCACAAATAATGCACTTATAAGCCATAAAACTCTCAACAACTACGTAAATGCCATCTGTTATGGAATTGATGTCAATACAATGAGTCAAAAGATAAATCAGCCAGGCGCCGGTAGCTCACACCTGCAATCCCAGCTACTCAGGAGGCAGAGATCAGGAAGATTGAGGTTCAAAGCCAGCCCAGGCAAATAGTTTGTGAGATCCTATCTTGAAAATCTTCACTATATAAAATAGGGCTGGTGGACTGGCTCAAGGTGAAGGCCCTGAGTTCAAGCCCCAGTACTGGGGAAAAAATAAAAAAGATAAATCATAATGAAATCTGAAAATTATTTTGAGCTGAACAAAGAAAATACTACAAAACAAAATTTGTGTGATACAGAACTTGCTGACAGAAATGTGTATTCTTAAATGAATGTGATCGAAAAAGAAGGACTGAAATTACTGAGCTAAGTGCATATCTCAAGAAGTTACAAAAAGAATAGCAAAATAAACCTTTAAAACAAAAATAGAAAGAAAAATAGATTGATAATATAGCAAACAAACATACAACAGGCCATCAAAACCAAAAATTGATTCTTTGAAAAGACTTACAAAAGGATAAAACAATTGACTCTACAGACATTAGAGGTAAAAGAGGGTATTATGAGCAATTTTATGCTAAGAATAGCCTTATTCAGATATTATCAACCCACAAAGAAAACTACAGGTCCAGAGAACCTCATAAGCAACTTCTATCAAATATTCCGGAATACATAATTTTAGTATTAGAGAACAGGAAAAAGGATTACTCCCTGACTCATTTTATAACAGCATAACCTTGGTACCAAAACAGATCATAAGCTTATATACAAAAATTATACCACATAATGCAGATAATGCCTTTATGACTTCGTGGCAGAAAGGTTTATCTTAATGAAAATACAAAAATCACTGTCCAAGTTGGGTGTCAGTGCTCACGCCTGTAATCCTAGCTACTCAGGAGGCAGAGATCAGGAGGATCTCCCTTCAATGCCAGCCCGGGGAAACAGTTCTTAAGACCATATCTCGAAAAACCCCTCACAAAAAAGGGCTGGTGGAGTGGCTTAAGCTGTAGGCCCTGAGTTCAAGCCCAGAACCACAAAAAAAAAAAAAAAAAAAAATCACTGTTCATAAGGGGAAAAAAACTGTTAACTCCAGCCACATTAAAGTAACTTCTGTGCACTAAGCTATAATAAGTGAAATCAGCCAGTGTAGAAGACATTACAATATAGATAACCACCAAAGAAATTATACATAGAATATAATGAACTCCTACAAATCAAGAAAAACAATTGAAAAACAGAATAAAGACAAATCATAACAGGAAATCCAAGTGGCTAATACAAACATAAAAAGTGTGCAAACTCACAAATAACTGGGAAAAATATAAATTAAAATCATAATACCACAATATTCACTATTATCGGTTAAACTAAAAACTGTACAGTACCAAAAGTTGTAAGTGATATTAAGCTAAGGAAACTTAACAGTACACTACTGGCATACAGTCATTGTGGGAAAACAATTCTGCATCAGAGCTGAGAATCATGGGTTTTATATATATGCCTTAAAGAAATTCATGCACATATGCACCAAAATGCCTACCTATACAGGAATAGTTCATCTTTATTTATAATAGTCTGTCAACAGTAAAGTTAGTAAGTTATAGTATATTCCCACACTGGAATTCTATACGGCAATGAAAATTAAATGAAAGAACTACAGCCCTATGCAATAATACAGTATATTCTATTATACATAATGTTCAAGAGTAGGGAAGCTGAAGTACCATGTTAAAGGATGATAAAATTATATAGAAAAGCAAGGAAGAGATGGATGGTAGCAGTAGGACTATGGTTTCCTCTAAAGAGTTGTGATCAGGAAAGAATGGGGGAAGGGGCCTAGAGGTCTAAGTGACTGTTGTACTTATATTTTATCATTATTCATTAAACCATACATTTGTGTTTTAGACACTTTTCTCTTGTTATTTCATAAATTAAGGGTAAAAGTCTATTTACAACCAAGCAAAAAAAATAGGCAAACAAAAATCCTGAAATGTATTAACGCAACAAATACTGCATGAAAAACAGTGAATTTTAGTGATCTCTGGGTACCCTGAAATAAATATAGTCTGCTACAATCAAGTCAAAAAGTCAAAACCAACTAAGTGCCAAAAAGCCAGCACGATCCTGCAGTCTGAATACTGAAAGCATGTTAACTCAGTCAAGTAACTACTTTGGTTTGCTAGAACCAAAGCAGAACGAACATTTACTTGCTTTTATTATTCAATTTGGATTTTCTTCATTTTCCCTCCAGAAGAAAGCGAAAAGTATATTTAAAAAATTTTTGGTTTTGTGATACTGGGAATCAAACTCAGGGCACACTCTACCACTGAACTACACCCCTAGCCCCTAACTGAAAGACTACAAACTTCCAATCCCTTAAACTTTGTACAAATTTTTCTATGAATTTATGTACAATTTCCTTGGTTCAGAGTTTTTGGTAAGACAATCAAAAAGTTCCTGTGACTTGAAGAAAAGGTTAAGAGTCAATCTTTGGATGGAAATGCACACTTACTGCTTTCAAAACTTAATTAACAAAGCTATAGTAATCAGACAGTGTGGTACTGGCATAAGGATAAACATATAGACCAACTGAGTAGAACTGAGAGTTCAGAAATAAATCCTTACATTTATTGTCCGTGGATTTTCGACAAGAGTGCCAAAATCATTCTGTGGGGAAAGTACAGTCTTTTAAAAAATGGCACTGAGACAACACACATGCAAAAGAACATGCCAGATTCAAAAATTAGCTTAGATGGATTATATGCTAAAACTATACATACTCCTAAAATATACACGAGCAAATCGTCATAGTTTTGGATTAGGATAATTTCTTAGATCTGACACCAAAAGCACATGAGAGAAGAAGAGATGAAAAAAGATAAATTGGACTTTATACTACAGACTGAAGGCTACTGTCTTCTCTACTTGGTTTGGTGTGAGATAATCAGCTCAGTATGAAAAGAGGAAAAGAGGTGTAATATGGAGAATGAAAGATTAAGAAATGCAAAACATTGCTAGGCATTGTTAAGAATTCACCTGAGATCTGTGATGGTGAATTCCAAAACATTTCTGCACAGTTATGTGATTTTTTTTCAGCAATGTTCAGTCACATGGTATAAGCCCAGAATGAGAATGGGTTTATACACAGATAAGACCACAAAGGGAGCTGAGGATATCTGCACAGAAGTTAATATAACAATGATCCACAAAACTGAGGCTGGACAAAAGAAGCATGAAGATAAGAGAAGGTAATGAGAAAATGGTGAGATAATCTGAGGGGTCTCAATGTGATCAAAGCATTGATTTAGTGGAAAGCCTTGAACAAGTAAGTGATCTACAAGGAGCAGAAATGATGCAAAGAGTAGAATGTTTAGAATTTAAAGTTTCTGATATAAGTTTAGTCTATAACAGTGATGAAATATGATAGCCATGGCTGGCTAGGATGGGACAAATAAGATGACTACAGGTAAGTGGGAAGATATATGAGTGCTATCTCTGCATTCAGTGAAACAAGAGTTCAAAACCAGACTTCCCCGATTTTGAAAGTGAGGTTCACAAGATGTCAGTATCAAGTGCTATATCCCCAGAAGAACAGAAACTAAGGACACAGGAGACACTCATGATTTAGCTCCTCATAGCTTGCCCTACCTTGATACTACCATGTTCCTCATAAAAACTGATGGTAACACCAAAAGAATTACAGAAAAATGTTAGATGAGTCCTGAAAAACCTAAACTGACTCATACCATAAATTCATCGTGAATATCTAAGATACATAAAGAAGGGTGATCCCCACAAGGCTTAAGGAAACAAAGAGGAGTCAGGGACATTAAAATTAGTTAAGGACATTTTGGGTAAATCTTAGCTTTTAATCACATTGTCTCTCCCCACTCTCCCCCAACACTGGGTCTTGAACTCAGGGCCTCATGCTTGCTAGGCAGGCACTCTACCACTTAAACCGGACCCTATTAATCCCAAAGATCGAGAAGTTCCTCTCTTCAGCTTACTCTTCCCTGCCCAACCTTATGCAATCTATTTTACTAAAATAAGAGTGATGTCTTCAGGTTTGGGCCAATTCTCATCAACGGGAAGAACACTTACAGTTACCTTTATTTTGAAATTTCAACACCTAGCAAATTTGATAAAACAGTAAACCTGATAAATGATTACATCCGAAAAAAGTACATTTAAATCAATCATTGAAAATGCAATTCTTTTTTTTTATTTAAACTTGAATTTATTTCTTTCAAATTTTCTACTTAAATATCAAATTTTCATATGCTAGAAATTATTAATCCTGAAAAAATAGTACAATTTTTGTCTTATTATCTACAATTTTAAGAACATTCATTCTATTTTTTCAAAAAATTTCAAACATTTTAACAGGGTAAAAACAGCTTAGAATTTGCTAGTCACGTTCTAGTTGAAGTCAATGTACATTTTTTCAAAATGTGGGTTCCAACCCATCAGAGCCTTGAAATTGATGAAATGCATTACAACCAGAAATGAAAATGCAATTCTTAAAAATAAAATTCAGTGTTTCTAAACCAACATACATACACTTCAGTTTCTCTCTGAGGAAAGGACTTCCTCCTATTCTTTAGCAAACTCATTCATTCCACCCCTCACTCACCCCTCATTAAAACAATTCTACAATCACTAGTTTTAACAGATATGCTAAGACCAAATGCAAATGTACAACTCTGAAAGAAAGTTTTTTAGAATCACTTTCAAATCTGGCACAAAGCCTTTAATCCTTCTGTTCCATTTATTTCTCTTATAAAACTTTCCTTCATACAAACCTATAAGACTATTTCCTAACAGCAAAACGTTCAATGTTCATTAGACCACTGGGGGCTGGGGGCACTGTGGGGTAACAATCTGACCTTTGCTCAATAGCTTCCATCTATAGAATAGCCTCACTGCCACTTGGTACATGCAACAGTGACAACTTTAGCACTCTCTATTGTCTTAATCTTCTGAAATTGTTGCTTAGTTGGCTTTTGGTTTTTGGACCCTTGATGAGAACAGAATTGATGACTAACCAGAATTCCCTAGGATCTGTCAAACACTTTTTCCTCTTGGATAATGCTGTCATCTATATTC